TTTCGCCCACTTTCAATTTCTACTTGGGCTATTTCCTATTTAAATCCTGGCCACTATTAAATAATAAATTATCAATCAGTTACGAGAACGCGGATTAAAAACATCTTTGTCATACTAGACAATCAATCAAAATTTTAAATTGTTTCATACGATATCAATTAACTTTTTATTATTCAATAGTGTGGCCAATAAGTGTCCTGGATGATTAAAAAATGGGTGCTTTACGTATTTATTGATAAATATGTACATACTAGATTCGCAATAGGCGCTCTAGGTTATACAGGTGATAGGCGTTTGTGTTATTAATAATTATTTATTTAACAGAGTAGCTAGTACGTACCCCAGGTCATCAAGTGAAAGGTGTTATTAATAATTATCTATTTGATAAAGTGGCCAGTAAGCGCGCCGGGTCATTGGGTGATAGGTGCTTGTGTTATTTATTAATAATTATTTATTTGATAGAGTGGCCACCCTCCTTCCGAAAATCAGGTGATTTATCACCTGATAAATCACCTGACAAATCACCTGATTTCTCATGCCAAAATCTCATGTGGACTTTAAAAAAAAATGNATTTTTGAATATGTACAAAAAAAAAACTAGAAATCATATACAATTTCAAGTTTTTTAAAAATTGTTTAAAAATACTTTAGGCCCTCAGTTTTACTGTTATCACACGGATGATACCGTCTCTACTGATAGATATATGTTGAAAAAAATCTGATTTTAAACTAATTTTTATTAAAAACTTGTGAAAAGATTACAGCTGTAATTTATAGCTGTATCTATAGCTGAATTTATACATTATTATAGCTGTTTTATAGGTAGTTAAAGCTATAATTTATAGGTATAATTACAGCTATAAATTTTTAACTGAGATAAATCGTTTAACTGACATAAATGTACCTACGTCACTCGGGAATCCATCGATATCTTGTAAATCCATAACATTGAAGCACACGTCAGAACGTGTATATCACAATTGTAGTTGTTCGTTCAATACTTTCACAATATTTTGGCAAGCTCAGCTCCGTGGGCCTTAAGACAAGAAGTTTCATATTGACATTTTCAGTCATATCCGCATTGAATACCAAACCAGTAGAAATTAGACGAGAATCAAATAATAACATCATATGACACCATTTGAAGACTAAAATTATAAGAATATTTGTGTGTATTTGCACCTGACATATTTTATAAGACCTTATATACCGAGGAAACATCAAAATACTAAGTAAAAATTAATATACACGAAGTTAAACGTATATGATCCTATATAGTTTATGCATATAGTTATTTCCTTGTTAGACATGGTACAAATGTATAAAGAATTTTCTTATACAAACTTATCAGAAGTGTATCAAGAAAAACCTATGTCATAAAGTTTGCGTCATTAAATAGGGATATTTAATTCTGAACGGGTAATGCAAACAAGTCGAAAAATAAACAAGTTGTAAATAAACATCAAGGTTCGCCGTACGCAACCATCAGAAAATAACCTATATAAAATAATATGTACAAATATTTTGTAAATTACCATATGTACTTTTGTTATCCACATATAGGTATATTTCGTTCCGAATCACGGTAAATATTTTAACATCATTTACACCGATACATTGGGAAGACCAAAAATTTACTGATAAAATATTATACCTCGCAATTTTATGTCCGGTCAGAGATTAGTTGGGAGATTGCTGACTGCCCTGCTACGGAGTGTGCCCACTTTTTTCCAGTGGTTCGAGCGCCCCGCCGCGGCCAAGCGGCCGAACCAGGCGCACATTTTTTTTTTATTTGAGCAGCACGGTAGGGGTATGAGAAGAGTGGATTCGCGTGGAAATGTCCATATAGGCGCACATTATGGAGACGCGTGGAAGGGGTATACCGAATGTGCGCCTACGAGGAGAGGAGTGGAAATGTCGGCTATATAGCTGTATATATCTGAACGCACAGCCAAAGCAAGCGACGATACGAGTTTTTCTTTTTTGAGAGTCTTTGGACTCTGCAACTGAGTACATGCTATATGTATATATTTAACTGACTTGCTCTCGCTCTGGCTTCAATGTTATCCATAAATCTTATTTAATTAAATCGTGGAACTAAATGCTCATTAATTATATACACAGAATTTTGATTTCAATACATTATGTTTTAACTCTCCCGTACTCTTAAAATTCCCAAATCCATTTATGTTTTCAAAAAATTAACCATTAATTTATTAATTTCACACATCCTAACTTCTGTAAACTGTAGGACAAGCTCCGGAGGATATCCATGAACATATGTGACTTCGAAAGA